ACCAGTAAGGCCTTCGCGCGGACCCCCCTGAGAATTTGGGCGGGGGGGCTGAAGCCCCTCACGCCCCCCCCCCCTCCCCTGGCTACGGGCCTGGAATTGGGCTTCTTTGTTTGAAAACTGAACAGCAGGATATAAATAAATAAACTTGCACTCAACAAACCTAGTCAGATCTAGGAAAGCTAAAAATGTGTTTCTTTAACAAGGCAAGAGAAGATTTTTTTTAAACAAATCTGCTATTTGAAATATCTCGGCGCTGCTCTGAAGTTATCCACCAGACTGGACGATTTCACCATGTTTTTGGCCCTTTCAGAGTCAAGAGTGTAAGGGGAAACTACACCAAAAATAAGCAGAGCATCCAAAATATAAACAGGATACTCAAAGTTGAGTATTCAGCTCATTAGCGAGCAAAGCATGAAGTGCCATGTGATGTAGCTGTAACGAATTTAGACATGTAGAGCCCAGTCCTAAAAAATCACAAAAGGTTTATTTACAACAGTTGTACCTTTTTTTGACCAGCAACCACTTGACCAAGGACCACTTTCCAACGTTAGTACCAAAAGGGTTACAAATCAGTTTTTGGTCAACTTGAGATTCGGTTTAGTTATTTGGGGTGCTGATCCAGAAAATCAGACAGACCACATCAGCTCGTTTCTGGTACAGAACATACACCATCCAGTAGTCGCCATCTGCTCACCCAAAGAAAATCATATTTAATAATCTAGAGCTGCGGACTTTATTTTACGAGGGTTGAATGAAAAGTAATGCCTCCACCTTTGTAACTCCTCAACAGATGGCAGTACTGGTATGCAGCAGGTACTGGCTTGTTCAGTAGACTCTCCTCTACAGTTCCATTTTAGCGGGAAGCCTTAGCATTGAACGGTTGTGTTGTTCAGGAAACATAGGGGAAGGGAAACCCTTAGACTATACCAAGCTAACTAAACTGCTCCTCATTGAGGATTTGAGACTTGGGCAGTGTGGGGTTGAATTCCAACAAAGGGAAGCCTTTCCTTTTTAGAGTCAAGAGAAACCTTACTTTTGCAGTCACAAAACCAGCATATGAAGTGGTGCTGTTCTTCCCTCTCCCCCTCCAAAACAACCCTGAAGTTCACACAATTCTTCATTTGGTGGACCATGTTCAACACCACCGCTTTCGAGCAATCATGGAGGAAAATCTGGGCATTGCCTGTGGTGAAAGACTGCCTGCTCCTCCTAGGTTCAATATCTGATGACCAAGGAACAAGATGAACCTTGGGGAGGTGGACCCATGCTTTGCATGCAGAAGATGCCAGGTTAGGTCTCTGACATCATCTGAAGGTAAATAAAGGTCCCGTGTTATAAGGTTCTCCCAGACATACAAGCAGCCGAGATGGACAAATTATGCTCTAATATCCAACAGAATTCATCCAGCTTGGCTGTCTCTATAGTTGCGACCAGTAGTGGAACCACACATTCTGAACGTGATCGCCAATCTGAATGCCAAGGACCTACCTTTGACGTTGCTCAGGGAAAGAGAACGGTCCCGGTCCACCAGGCCTTGTCCCATCTTGGTGCCACCATTGTTGTCCTTTTGCCGGGCCACGGCCACGGCGATGCCCACGGGCAGGTGCCTAACCTCCACCTCTCCCTGAGACCCAATGCTCTCACGCCCGAACGATTTGGCACTCTCGGGGCGCTCCGGCTCCTTCTTCAGCTGTTTGCTGGCCTGGTGGGGAAGCAGCTGGGGGGTCTTCGCTGAGCCCTGCTGGTTGGGGTCGAGCTTCATGTTGCCAAGACCCCCGAAGGGGCTCCTCTTGCCGCTACCCTGGCGGGTGGAAGCCTCCTTGGCGAAGCTACCGCTGTACTTGATGAGGCTTTGCATGGCCGATCCTTCGCTGTGAGAGGCCGGGTGGAGTCCCTCGGGGGCACTCCGCGACACCACCGCCGAGGACCGCTGCAAGCTGCTGGGGTCGAGATACACCTTCTTGGCCTCCTCCTCCACCCGGTTGGCGTGGTTGTGCTGGGCGGCTAGGACAGCCATCTGGGTGGTGGCAAAGTTGCCCATTTCGAAAGGTTTCCATTTCTGTTCGGGAGGCTTCAGCTGTTGGCCGTGATCGAGATGTTGCCGGGAGGAGGAAGAGGAAGAGATGGAGGAGGAGTTGGTAGAGGAAGAGGACGAAGATGAAGAAGGAGAGTCCAAAGTGCCATATATCTTCGCCGCTTCTCTGCAGCCAGATCGTTGAAACCGGTCCCGCTCGCCGGAGCGGTGCTCGGTCTCCGAACCCGATTTGAGCAAGTCTTTTGAGGCCAGGAACTCCCTGCTTTCCGGGGAGCTGAGCCTCGGCCGGTTGAGGAAACTGTCCGCAGCCCCCTGCTTCTTCAGCACCATAGCGTTCGCCCGGATCACGGAGCCTTTTTCCCGCATCAGCTCCATCCTTTTGGCCTCTATGTGCACGGGGAAATCTTGGGGCGAAAGGTTGCAGGAGGCATCGGCCAGGCACCTGTCGGGCACGGCTTGCAAGACCCCCACGCGGGCGGCGAGGGGGGCGTCCTTCTCCTTCCCCTTGCAGTTGTCCCGGGCTTGGGAGGCGATCTGGATGGGGCCGTTCCTCTCGTCGTATGCCTCGACGGAAGGCACGAAGGTGGGGGCGATGACTTTGTGTTCCCTTCCGGGATCCTTGCTCAAGGGGAAGATGGTGTACATGTTGGAATGGACCGGGTGGGGAGGGAAGGTGGAGGAAGGGGGCAGCTTCCCCGGCTGGGCCGAGGCCGGGCAGCTGCAGGCGACGTGCAAAGCGGCGACCGAGCCCATCGTCGAGTCGCCCCGTTTCAGCCGGTCGGCGTGTGCGTGAGCAGAAGGCCTCATGTTCTCGTCGTGTCTGTTGGGCTCCTTGGTGCAGCGGTCTTGCTCGGAGCCCGCCGCTTTCCCCAAGGGGTCCCCTCCACCGTTGCAGTTGCTGAGCGAAGAGGTCTGCAGCGGGTTCTTGGACTTTGGTTCTCCGCAAAGGGCCGCCCGGTTTGGCATGTGTTCGGCAAGGAACGGGGACATGCGCTCCCCTCCGGGCTTGGCGGCCTTCTCGAGGCCGCCCACTTTCCTGTCGCTGTCGGGTTTAGTGTCCTGCGTGAGGTCGACCACGCTGTGGGGACGGGGCTCCTCGCGCAACTTGCTCTCCTTTTTGGCCCCGGGCAAAGAGAGGTCACTCCGGTACGCCCGCTCCTTGGCTGTCGGGTCTTTTGGGTTCCTATGTAAGTGCCCGAGGTCCTTTTCACGGAGCAGGGTGCTCGAAGTGTGGTTGGCTGCCGCTCTTGAAGGAGGGCCTTGGGGGTGCAAAGAAGACTGCCCTGCATGGCTAGCCAGGTAAAATCCATCTGCAAAAAACAAGGGAGGAGAGAAACAGACGTTGTATAATATTAAGAAACACCCAAACTGAAGTCAATCAATTTATCTATATATATAAAAATGGAAAGGGTGTTCAACGGGACAGCAAAACGCGAAAACCCCCCAACGAAAACTCACCAAATTTGCCGTGCACATACCTCAACCCACAAGGTATGCACAACACTCATCAAAATTCCAAACAACATTTCAACAAACTCACAATTACAAAAACCAACTGAGCATGCGCAGTGCCCAGGGGAGGAAGTACACACGCAATGCACTCTGGGAACTGTAGTTCTGGGGGCCAGGATGCTGCGCGAACGGAGAAAGGAAGGAAGGAAAGAAAGGAAGGAAGGGAAGTCGAGAAGGTATATGAAAGAAGAAAGGTAGGAAAGAAAGAATACAGAGAGAGGAGGATGGGAAAGAAGGGAGAAAGGAAGGAAGGAGGAAAGGAAAGATAGAAAAAAAGAAGAAAGGGAAGGGGAAGGGAAGGTGTCAAAAGGAAGGAAGGAAGGAAGGAAGGAAGGAAGGAAGGAAGGAAGGAAGGAAGGAAGGGGAAGAGAGGGAAAAAAGCAAAGGAAGAAAAGAAAGGGAGGGAAGAAAAGAAAGAAAGAAAAGGAAGCCTGGAAGCCAAACGCGAAGGAAGGAAGGAAAGAGATAGAGAGGGAAGTAAGGAGAGAGGAAGGAAAATAAAAAGGGAGGAGGAAGGAAAGAGGAAGAGAAGGAAGGAGGAGAGAAGGGGGGAAAAGGGAAGGGAGGAAAGACGGAGGAAAGGAAGAAGAGAAAGAAGGAGAGAAAGAGGGAGGGAAGGAAAGAAATAAAGAGAAGGAAGGATGGGAGCAAAAAGCTAAGGAAGGAAGTAAACAGGTAGAGAAGGAAGAAAGGAAAGAAGAAAAGGAAATGAAGGAAGGAGTGAAAGAAGGAGAGAAAGAGGGAGAGAAGGTTGGCCACAGCAACACGTGGCGAGTAAAGCTAGTTAACTATATATATAAAAATGCTCTGTGCGTAATAAGTACCTTAAAAACAAAAGAACCAATGAATGAAATCACACCAAATTTGGCAACAAAATGTCTCACAACACAAGGAGTGACCATCACTCAAAAAATTACGATTTTTTCATTTGGGAGTTGTAGTTGCTGGAATTTATAGTTCACCTACAATCAAAGAGCATTCTGAACTCCACCAATGATGGAATTGAACCAAACTTGGCACACAGAACTCCCATGACCAACAGAAAACACTAGAAGGTTTGGTGGGCATTGACCTTGAGTTTGGGAGTTGTAGTTCACCTACATCCAGAAAGCATGGTGGACTCAAACAAGGATGGATCTGGACCAAACTTGGCACCAATGCTCAATGTGCCCAAATGTGAACACTGGTGGAGTTTAGGGGAAACAGACCTTGACATTTGGGAGTTGTAGTTGCTGGTATTTCTAGTTCACCTTTCTCATCCTGTGGGTCCCCAGATGTTTTGGCCTTCAACTCCCAGAAATTGGCTAGGATTTCTGGGAATTGTAGGCCAAAACACCTGAGGAGGGACCCACTGGTTGAGAACCAGGTTAAGCCTAAGGGGCGAGCCCGGATTACCTCGTGTTTACTAAAAGGTTTCTCATTGGACAAGAAAGGCCAAAGTGGGGGGGATAATAAGCCTTCCTGCCCAAAACACGGAGACATTCTTTCACATATGGGGGGGGGGGGGGGTCAGATGACCAGAAGAACATCCCACCTTTCCCAGATCTATCGAGTCCAGCCTGAAGCCGACAGTCAAAGAGTTAAGGCTAAGATGTTGCTGCTCATTTGAAAATTAATTTACAGTTTTGGGGTTAATTGCTTGAGTGACTATTAGAAAATGGATGTCAAATTAATCATTTTTAATTTTCTAAAAAAAATCAATTCGCGTTCGTTCAGAAATGACCAACTGGCCCCCAAAACGTAACAGATTACAAGTAACACAAGATGTTAATCTTCACACAGAACATGAGGGTCACTGGCATTAAAAGGATTGTAATAACTTTCCAAGTGACCTTTAAAAGATACGATAGGTCGAGGGGAGCAGATTCATTTTGCTGAATTGGTTCCAAATCTGGGTATTGCTCCGTCCTATTGACAACAGCAGAATGATGGCAAAAACTCCCTTGACTGTTATGTGTTACAACAGCGTTTCTCAACTTGGGGGTCAGGGTCATGACGTGATGTCAGAGAGGTCACCAAAGACCATATTTTCTGTTGGTCGTGGGGGGTTCTTTGTGTGAAGTTTGTCCCAATTCTATCATTGGTGGTGTTCAGAATGCTCTTTGATTGCAGGTGAACTATAAATCCCAGCAACTACAAATCCCAAATGTCAAGGTCTATTTTCCACAAACTCCCTAGTGTTTACATTTGGGCTTATTGAGTATTCATGCCAAGTTTGGTCCAGATCCATCATTGTTTGAGTTCACGGTGCTCTCTGGTGAACTACAACTCCAAAACGCAAGGTCAATGCCCACCCAATGCTTCCAGATAAAGCTAAATACCTTGTTGAACTGGTATCAAACTGCATTAATTTTATAGTGTAGTTCTGGGCCTGCAAAGTTCAGCCCTCCAGGTGTTTTGGACTTCAACTCCCACAATTCCTAACAGCCGGTAGGCTGTTAGGAATTGTGGGAGTTGAAGTCCAAAACACCTGGAGGGCTGAACTTTGCCCAGGCTCGGTGTAGTTGCACCATGTGTTAGAATAACAAGCTGTGAGCGAGTGTGGTTAACACCATATTTACTCAAATCTCGTGCTCACCTTTGCTGGCTAAACCATTTCACCAAAATTGGTTTAGATTTGCATGATATGGTAAACTTAGTAATATAACAAAATTTCATAGTATAGATGCACCCCATCATTTTTGTACCATCATTCTGCAGCATAGATGCACCTCATAATTTCTGCACCATCATTCTGCAGCATAGATGCTCCCCATCATTTTTGCACCATCGTTCTGAAGCATAGATGCACCCCATCATTTTTGCACCATCATTCTGCAGCACAGATGCAACCATCATTTTTGCACCATCATTCTGCAGCACAGATGCACCCCAACATTTTTGCACCATCATTCTGCAGCACAGATGCAACCATCATTTTTGCACCATCATTCTGCAGCATAGATACACCCCATCATTTTTGCACCATCATTCTGCAACATAGATGCACCTCATCATTTTTGCACCACCATTCTGCAGCATAAATGTACCCCATCATTTCTGCACCATCATTCTGCAGTATAGAGGCACCTCATCATTTTTGCACCATCATTCTGCAGCATAGAGGCACCCCATCATTTTTGCACCATCATTCTGCAACATAGATGCACCTCATCATTTTTGCACCACCATTCTGCAGCATAGATGCACCCCATCATTTTTGCACCACCATTCTGCCACCATTCTGCAGCATAGATGCACCCCATCATTTRTGCACCACCATTCTGCAGCTCAGATGCACCTCATCCTTTTTGCACCAGCATTCTACAACATAAATGRATCCCATCATTTTTGCGCCACCATTCTACAGCATAGATGCACCCCATCATTTTTGCACCACCATTCTGCCACCATTCTACAGCATAGATGCACCCCATCATTTTTGCACCACCATTCTGCCACCATTCTTCAGCATAGATGCCCCCTGTCATTTTTGCACCACCATTCTGCAGCATAGATGCACCCCATCATTTTTTCCCATTGCTAGACGCTTTGGTATTATAAAACTTTTGTTTTTTTGATTTCAGTGTTTAGAAAATTGAGGTGCACATCAGATTCAATGGCGCGTTAGACGGGAGTCAACATGGGTATTTTATAATGCTTAATGACATTGACAAGGAGCATCGGTGACGCAATGGATTAGACCATTGAACTGCTGAATCTGCTGACCTAAAGGTTGGCAGTTTGAAGCCGCAGGTTGGCAGTTTGAAGGCCAAGACACGCAGAAGGAGGCATCAACTCACCTTTTGGGGACTCGAAGAGGCTGTGCTGGCCCAGCTGAGCAAGCAAAGGGCTCCCACTGTTATGGGGTTCCAGGTGGCTCAAGGGAATGTACGATGGATACAACCCATTCGGCAGATGGGAGAAGCCTGGAGAAAGGGAGAGAAAGAGATGTAAACGCATCCATGGAAGCATTTGCTACAACAAATCTGTTTCTTTGAGATGGTAGAACAGAAGCTCTCCAAAGCTCTAGGTGCTCTAACTGCCTATTACAGGGAAAACCAACTGATCCCTAATCCATCTAAAACACAGACATGTGCCTTTCACCTGAAGAACAGAGAAGCATCCCGAGCTCTGAGGATTGTTACCTGGGAAGGAATCCCATGGGAGCATTGCAGTGCACCCAAATACCTGGGAGTCACTCTGGACCATTCTCTGACCTACAAGAAGCACTGCCTGAACATCAAGAAAAGTGGGCGCTAGAAACAATATCATATGAAAGCTGACTGGCACAACCTGGGGATCACAACCAGATACAGTGAAGACATCTGCCCTTGCGCTATGCTACTCTGCTGCTGAGTACGCATGCCCAGTGTGGAACACATCTCACCATACTAAAACAGTGGATGTGGCTCATAATGAGACATGCCGCATTATCACAGGATGTCTGCGCCCTACACAACTGGAGAAATTACACTGCTTAGCCGGTATTGCACCACCTGACATCCGCCGGGAAGTAACAGCCAATAGTGAAAGGACCAAGGCAGAGACATCTCCAGGTCATCCCCTGTTTGGGTATCAGCCAGCATGTCAACGACTTAAATCAAGAAATAGTTTTATTAGATCTACAGAGACACTTGCTGGAACACCTCAGCAAGCAGGAGTCCAAAAGTGGCAGGCTCAAACCCAGAATCTCAACCAATGGCTGATACCAAATGAGAGACTCCCCCCTGGGCAGACAGAAAACTGGGAGACTTGGGAGGTGCTGAACAGACTGCGCTCGGGCACCACGAGATGCAGAGACAACCTTAAGAAATGGGGCTACAAAGTGGAATCCACGACATGCGAGTGGGGAGAAGAGCCAACCACTGTCCACCTGCTGCAATGCACCCTGAGCCCTGCCACATGCACCATGGAGGACCTTCTCGCGGCAACACCAGAGGCACTCCAAGGGGCCAGATACTGGTCAAAGGACTTCTAATCAACTAGCAAGTTTGCAAATTTTGTGTTTTGTTTGTTTGCCTGTTTGTTAAAAAATGCAATACAACTGTTTGGTCTTGACACATCTGTCAACTATATATCCAATATGGCATGCCCACAAAAGAGGGGATATTGCTGGCTGTTAGAGCGAACCCCTTGCCAAAAAGACAGGTTCCCAAAAGTGGCCAAACGGGCAGCACATGTGCATCCAGAGTGAGGCTTGCTCAACCTTTTTGTGCAACCACAACAACCACAGCGATCTGCTGAAGGGAAGTGTGTGATAACTCTTGCACACACACTTGGGTTGGTGTGCCCCCAGATCTCACGCATGCACGCCACACCCAGCTCCGGCTTCTGCAATCAAGGAAACGGGTCTCCCATCACTCTCGCTCTACAAATGTGGATTCTGTGGTTGTGGGTGGCCAACAAGGATGGATGGTTGAAAAAAGGAAAGCAGCAAGCCCGCTTGAGGTCGTGATAAGCAGGATACCTGACTCCGGATCTTGCACCAGAGCGTGCAAAAGGGCCAATAACAGTTGTGCAATTCCAAGAATGGGAAATGTCGTTGTGGACAAACTTGCAGAGCTTGCTGAGTGCAATATAAAAACTAAAAATAGGATTGGCTTTGCAAATGCAAAACATGGTCGGCCACGACGTTGAGATGATCTTGAAGAATAGGCTCAGGTTACCCCAAGAATCTGGGTTTACCTTGTCTGTTTGTGGCAAGTGTAAATGTTGGTACTGACCAGTTTGATTAGGATCTGATGGCCTTGCAGCTTCAAGATCTGGCTGCTTACTGCCTGCTTATGTATCTCTGGAATAATGTCTAGAATGGGAGAAAGAACTCTTGTCTGCTTGTGGCAAGTGTGAATGTTGCCATTGGCCATCTTGATTAGCATTGAATGGCCTTGCAGCTTCAAGGTCTGGCTGCTTACTGCCTATTTATGTATCTCTGGAATAATGTCCAGGGTGGGAGAATGAACTCTTGTCTGTTGGTGTCAAGTGTGAATGTTGCCAATGGCCAACTTGATTAGCATTTGATGGCCTTGCAGCTTCAAGGTCTGGCCTCTTACTGCCTGTTTGTTTATGTATCTCTGGAATAATGTCTAGCATGGGAGAAAGAACGTTTGTCTGTTGGTGGCAAGTGTAAATTTTGCTGTTGGCCAGCTTGATTAGCATTTGATGGCCTTGCAGCTTCAAGGTATGGCTTCTTACTGCCTGTTTGTTTATGTATCTCTGGAATAATGTCTAGCGTGGGAGAAAGAACTTTTGTCTGTTGGTGGCAAGTGTAAATGTTGACATTGGCCAACTTGATTAGCATTTGATGACTTTGCAGCTTCAAGGTCTGGCCGCTTACTGCCTGTTTGCTTATGTATCTCTGGAATAGTGTCCAGGGTGGGAGAAAGGACTCTTGTCTGTTGGTGGCAAGTGTGAATGTTGCCATTGGCCAGCTTGATTAGCATTTGATGGGGTTGCAGCTTCAAGGTCTTGCTGCTTACTGCCTGTGTATGTATCTCTGGAAGAACGTCCAGGGTGGGAGAAAGGACTCTTGTCTGTTGGTGGCAAGTGTGAATGCTGCCATTGGCCACCTTGATTTGCATTTGATGGCGTTGCAGCTTCAAGGTATGGCTTCTTACTGCCTGTGTATGTATCTCTGGAATAGCGTCCAGGGTGGGAGAAAGGACTCTTGTCTGTTTGTGGCAAGTGTGAATGTTGCCATTGGCCAGCTTGATTAGCACTGAATGGCCTTGCAGCTTCAAGGTCTGGCCGCTTACTGCCTGTTTATGTATCTCTAGAATAATGTATAGAATGGGAGAAAGGACTCTTGTCTGTTTGTGGCAAGTGTGAATGTTGCCATTGGCCAGCTTGATTAGCATTTGATGGCCTTGCAGCTTCAAGATCTGGCTGCAGATTTTGAAGAACGGCCGGTAGGCTGTTAGGAATTGCGGGAGTTGCAATCCAAAACACTCGGAGGGCCCAAGTTTGCCCATACCTGTTGCAGAAGATCGAAATCGATAACATGCATACAGTTTGTGTTGCAGACTGGTCCGCGCCTCAAAGTAAACCCAGATTCTTGGGGTAACCTGAGCCTATCATTGGTGAGGTTGTTTGTCTGCACAATGGTGCAAAACTCTAATAGTGGGAGAGACCATTTGAAGCATTGGGTTTAAACATCACGAAAAACAAATCACAGACAGGTCTGCGGTTTGTTTAGCTGCTCCCGCTGGCAACAAATGTGATCCGGCGGCGTGGATCCAAAGGCTTGTTATGACATCTTCATATGCTGTATGCATATATCAATGTAAAAATATATACCATCTGACGTGTCTAGTCCAGGCTTGTTTTGAAGCTGCAAGGCCATTCAGTGCTAATCAAGCTGGCCAACGGCAGCATTCACACTTGCCACCAACAGACAAGGGTTCTTTCTCCCATTCTAGACATTAATCCAGAGATACGTAAACAGGCAGTAAGCGGCCAGACCTTGAAGCTGCAAGGCCATTCAATGCGAATCAAGCTGGCCAACAGCAAAATTTACACTTGACACCAACAGACAAGAGTCCTTTCTCCAATTCTAGACATTATTCCAGAGATATATAAACAGGCAGTAAGCGGCCATACCTTGAAGCTGCAAGGCCATTCAATGCTAATCAAGGTGGACAACTGCAACATTTACACTTGCCGCCAACAGACAAGAGTCCTTTCTCCCACCCTGGACATTATTCCAGAGATACATAAACAGGCAGTAAGCGGCCAGACCTTTAAGCTGCAAGGCCATCAAATTCTACTCAAGCTGGCCAATGGCAACATTCACTCTTTCCACCAACAGACAAGAGTTCTTTCTCCCATGCTAGACATTATTCCAGAGATAAATAAACGGGTAGTAAGCATCCGGACCTTGAAGCTGCAAGGCCATTCAATGCTAATCAAGATGGCCAACAGCAACATTTCCACTTGCCACCAACAGACAAGAGTCCTTTCTCCCACCCTGGACATTATTTTAGAGATACATAAACAGGCAGTAGGCGGCCAGACCTTGCAGCTGCAAGGCCATTCAATGCTAATCAAGATGGCCAATGGCAACATAAACATTTGCCACAAACAGGCAAAAATTTGTTCTCCCACTCTGGACATTATTCCAGAGATACATAAATAGGCAGTAAGCAGCCAGAACTTGAAGCTGCAAGGCCATCAAATGCTAATCAAGCTGGCCAATGGCAACATTCATACTTGCCACAAACAGACAAGAATCCTTTCTCTCACCCTGAACACTATTCCAGAGATACATAAAAAGGCAGTAAGCAGCCAGACCTTGAAGCTGCAAGGCCATCAAATGCTAATCAAGCTGGCCAACAGCAAAATTTACACTTGCCACCAACAGACAAAAGTTCTTTCTCCCACGCTAGACATTATTCCAGAGATACATAAACGGGCATTAAGCGGCCAGACCTTGAAGCTGCAAGGCCATCAAATGCTAATCAAGCTGGCCAACGGCAACATTCACATTTGCCACATACAGGCAAGAGTTCTTTCTCCCACCCAGGACATTATTCCAGATATATAAACCCACTTGCCTATTTTTTAAGAGACCTCACAACCTCTGAGGATGCCTGCCATAGATGTGGGCAAAACATCAGGAGAGAATGCTTCTGGAATAGGGCCAGACAGCCTTGAAAACTCACTGCAACCCAGTTATTCTGGCCATGAAAGCCTTCGACAACAAACAGTTTTGTTGTTGTTTGCCTTCATTTTGAACTCCTATCATGGCAAGGCTGGTTCAAAGAGGGGTTTCTCTTGCATCACTTTGAGGCTGAGAGAGTGTGACCTGCATAATGTTATCCAGTGGGTTTCTGCAACTGAACGGGTATTCAAACACTGGTTTCCCAAAACTCAAACAACTATGTTAACTCTGGGTTACTGTGAATTTTCCTGATATTATGGATATGTTCTG